TTGGAATTCGAAATCAAGTATTGGACAACTACAAAAGGAATCGTTACTTCATAAAAACAGCATATCCTCCACAACTTAAACTAGAGTCTAATTTTCTGTAATCGATTGTACTTCTTCGTAAGTTCATCCTGTGCCTGTTTTTCGACAGTGTATTGGATAAAGGCTCTATATTATCTAAAATGTACTCACTAGTATTAGAATTAACAACCAAAATTGGAACAGACTCACCTGGTTCCTGGAATTGCATTTGATCAACGTGTCGGTTGTGCATACTTAAACTATCGCCATCTAGAATTCGCACCTTAGATTTACCAACATTCATTACCACCATCTCCGTGTCTAGTGGAAAATCATTTCGACGATAATATGTAACTTCTGCAGACTCCAAACATCTTATATTCGAAAGGAGAATTCTTCCTTTTAATAGCTTGATGGCGTCTCTTCAGTCACAGAATTTTTAGCACTTCTATATCGCAGCAAAAACATATTTACTCCGCTCTCCAGCACAATAAATGTTCGAGCAGCAATATAATCAATAGCAGTTTTCAATCCATTGACAAGATTTTCTGCCTAGCCATTAGAAAAATGAAGCCTGGGAGCAGTGAACAGATGTTTGCACCCTATACCATTCAATCACGCAGTGACTGCATTCTCAGCAAAATGGGAGCCATTATCAGCCACTAACACAACAGGAACTCTTTTGTCGACTAAACACCTGTCTTAATGCTTGGATTGTGAAGTCAGAATTTGATGAAATTGTGAAAAAACCTCAGGCAACTCCGAACACATCAATGACTACTAGTGCATAGTATTTACTGAGAAATGGGCCACAACAGCCTGTAAGATCCAAACTACGGTTTGGAGTGAAGGACAGCTGTCTGGATGAGTTAGATACGCGCCGTCGCCCGATTGAAACCAAAACAAAGTAATTGGGTAAGATGACGGTTCTATAATTTATCATAAATTTAAGTGTACATTATTACCTAAACAAATATAACCACTCAGCTATCCAACCGATAATTGTTCAATTGATCAAATCCAAACTACAATAAATAAGTTGATAAAGGATGCAAGAAAATTACCAATCACCACAAATAAATGTTATTCTATCCTGTCTGGATAGATCACGTACAAATTCGTTCAAAATGTAATAATTGGTCGCTCTATAACACAGAGTGTTTTCAATTCTGGAAGAGTGCTTCAATTCACAACCAAAATGCACAATTCCAGTCAACACAGGTCAAGCAATCAAAAGCAGGAACAAGCCAAAATGGCTGCCGCCCAGACTTAGTATAAAGTAAAACAACATAAGTGCAGCTCGGGAAGAAACACGGGGAATTAGTGAAGGTATAGTAAAAACGAAAACTATAATAAAATACAAACATTAACAATTCAAATGTAGTCAAAAAGTTAACAATGTACAACTAAGAGAATCAATAGGAACAAAGTGTAAGTATATACATGGAGGGATTTTCACAAACACACAAAGCATTCAAAATGGATCTTACACAGCCTGCATGAATTCTCTGCCAGGCCTCAGAAGATACTGACCACGGAGTCCACTTCGAAGACTGATTTTTCAACCTATGACATTTTTCACAATTGTTTGCTGTACGACATATATCTGCACTTATCTCTGGCCACCAACATATGAGCCTTGCCAGTGACTTAATTTTCTCAACACTTAAATGTCCATTATGAACTACTTCAAGGACAGATTTGCGCAATGAAGGAGGAATAACAACACGATTATTTAAACACTAAATACCATCAAGAGTAGTGAATAAATAATCTCTCTTTGAGAAATAAATAGCAAATCTACGCTTCAGATTAGCATTCCAACCTTTCCGTTTAGCACTGAGTATACATCCAAAGTATCTATGTGTTTCTCTAATGAGGTCTGGACGTCTCACTGGTAAAGTTTGCATTAACAAACAGTATGAAGTATTAAAAGGTCTATCTTGTAATTATGGTCGAGAAATTTAGTCAACGTGTTGAATTTGTCTGGCACTCCTATACTGAACCGTGTAGTCATAGGCACTCAAAGCAATACTCCAACGTTGAACCATAGCATCCGAGCAACGTCCTAAGGATTTCTCAAGATGTTAAATGAACTTTAAAGCCTCATGATCAGTAACAATAGTCAACTTTTTTCCGAATAAGGGTTTATGAAGTCTTTTAACAGCCCAAAACACAGCTAATGCTTCTCTCTGAATCTGTGAATAACCTTGTTCAGTAACAGTAAGTTCATGCGAAACACGGATAACCAGTCTCCCTTCCTTCTACAAAACTGCACCAACACCCAAAGGTGATGCATCAGTGATAAGTATAGAATGTACACTAGAAGAGTAAGTTCGAAGGACAGCATTACTTTGAAAAAACTTTAGTAGACTTCGTAAGCATGACTATTGCTCCTCACCCCATTTGAATGGATTAGATGTCAAACATTGAATAAACAATTGGCTCGAGAAGAAAAATTAGAAACAAGACAGGAATGGTACTGAAGAGCATCCACTAGCGAACGTAGTTCTATAAAAGTTTTTACACACGGTGCATTTGTTATTGAGGCTAGTTGTTTCATATCTTGTCTAATACCATTGTCATCAACAAGGTATCCAAGACATTCAAAACTAGTTACACACAATGAACACCTACTTGAATTCACCGTAATATTCTTTTCAATTAAGCGCTGCAATAAAGCAACAAGAATCTAAACATGAACTACCTTATCAGAGCTATGAACCATGAGATCATATTGATAAGCTTCAATAACTTCAAGATCACTGACTTCCTTATTCATAACTTCCTGAAATATGGCTGGAGAACAACTTAGATTAGATGGAAGGGAGTTGTATTTAAACAGACCAAAAGAAGTGTTAATTGTGGCCAAAATAGATGGAGATTGATCTAAACGCATTTGAAGATAAGCATCTTTTAATCCAACTTTCCAGAACACTTTAGAATCATGAAGTCGACTTACAATATGTTCAGCCTCCACCGTCGTGCATATTTGTTTCAACAAACAAGAGTTCAGTGTTAATCTATAGTCACTACATATTCTAGGGGTACTACCGTACGAATTCAATGACGTAACAATAGGAGTACCCCGTGCTGAAGACTGAGTCGGTGTGAAGATGACACAGGTATTTGGAGTTTGATAACGCTTTAACCAGTAACACCTCATACTATGAGTCTTACCCACCAAATCAAATCAAAAGTAAAAGCGAGGAAATTCGAAGACATATTCGATAGGCTATCAATATATCGAGGATCGACTGATCTAGACTGGCTAGCGATTGCTATGGTTATTGAGCACGGTGTTCTCACTTGTAATCTGGTGCGGATGCATAACCGTGCGCCTTCAGCCAGGTTAGTCCACTAAAACTAATGTAGTCAACACCTAAAGAGCAATTGACTTTTGGGGTTTATTTACCGCTGCAGGTTTAATTATACTGTTTCTCAAAGACGGCACGGACTAGCGGGTAAGCCAGGGATTTTCGCGCACACGTTACATATTGTCGTGGATTTTTTGTGTCGTTATTTATCAGCTATTAACAGGCTTTTTTGCATGGCACATCAATTTCTGTATTGCTAGTGCTTGTAACATAGTTTTATTCCAATTTATTGGCAGTTTGACGTATTTCTTGCTCACCACGTAAGTAAATCTGAAGTTAGCTTAATATAGTTATTTGTAACAATACAAACTCAAGCAAGTAAAGTTCACCGTTTTTCTAGTCAAAAAATACACCACAGATTGAGTTTTAATGAAAATTAACCGTAAAATCTTTTACATATGGTTCACCTCCTTGATTGCGGTGACGGTGAACATGGATGTCGGTAGTTGTTTATAAAATGTAAGTAGAAGCAATCAAGCGTTAACCTAATTGTGAATATTATATAACTTGCTTGTATTTAGCCATAAAAAGTTATATCTATTAGAGGTACCATTGTTTTGTACTGAAGTGACATAATTATGTAACGTATCTAAGAAAAGAAATATGTGAGTAACAATTGACTTTTATAGTGTTGTCCAGCGGCTTTCTGAACGTCTGCAGTAATAGTGTATAACACCACATCAAGTAGGAACAAAATCTTCATGAATAAAACGATCGGTGTTTCTTGTGAGAATGGTGACACAACCATGTTTTTTAGTTAATACTGATTTGTGAGGTGTCTGTTATAGGGTTCACAAATGAGTTATTATATACTCTTCACTCCGTCTCGGTAATACAGTTGTTGTGTTACTTAGGAAGTTATGAATGAATGTCACTACTTGTTAATAAAAGACTTATAGGCACAGTCTGTTACTTGCTATTTGAATAACATATTGAATATGATACTGAGAACAAAGTTTAATTGTTTGTC